AAAATATTTCAATACTTTTCGAATGGTAGTAAATTTACGGTCCATTCCTGTAGATACGCCGGCAATAGGACACCAAACATCGCCCGTGGAAGTCATCCAAGTAAGGTAATCACGCGAGTCTTTTTGGTAACGTAATTGATTAAAACTACATGCCATGTCCATAGTGGACACAATATCACCTCGCTTAATATGATCCATACACTCCTGTTCCGTAGGGATAATGTTATTTATTTCAACAAAGATATGAAAGCACTGAAGGAAAGGTGGATTTCTAAAGTTGATGGTCGGAATATTATTCTGAAACTCCCGGTACACTTCGAGACGGCGTTAGCTCATCTCAAGAAGCGAGCTGCTGTACATAAATCTATTACCGAAAATCAACGGGACGTTAGTGGTCTTCATCGAGAGTTGATGAGTGTTTTTGTCTCTGAGAGGATTACCAAAGCAATGAATTTAGAATTGGCACAAGCTCAAAAATTCGAGAGGCGAATCCACCTGCAGCGGACCCAGAACTTACTGTTGGCGATATTGACGCACAGTTTCTGCCGCCCCTTGGCCAGGCTCATGGTACTAGCCACCTACCCAGACCCGTGGCAATGGAAAAACCTGTAACCGGTGGAAATCGGGAGCATAGAAAAGGGAAGAGAGCTAGACACGAGATGCCGGTGAGACTACTCCACGACGACTTTCCCAGTACAGACCCTGGATCCGACGACTCCCCGTCTCCAGACCCTGGATCATCTGTACAATCACAGCACAAAAATACTGCTCTACCCCCAGCTGTCTGGTATATGCAACCCCAACAATCTCAAACAGTCGTACCACCAAATGGGCAAGCATCACAAATTTATATACCGCCAGTGCAGTATTATTAGTCTGCTGTAGGATGGTATACAAATGAAACATCACATATCCCTAGGATAAGATCTGGTCGTATAGAGAAATCCAAAATGCGTACGCAATGCAAAAGATGTTCGAAGTGCACCGACAACAAAACGTGCAAAAAGCCATATGGTGGCGTTTGCAATGAAGACATGTGGACAGTTGACTTCTTTTATTACAATAAAAGATATGTGTATACATTCATCCAATCTTAATCATAAGCATCGATGTATTACAGGCAACAAGATAAGGTACACTGCCGAAACTGCCGTATGCCTCGTGTGTCGTGCCATCCTGGGTCACCTTCGGGTAGGGAAGAGCTGCAGCTGGATTAAGTACCTTCATAACTTTTACAATTCGTCGATTAAATGTAAACTCTACTACTGCACCATCACCAAAGCGACGTACATTCCAGCTTTGTTACGTGCCTTTTTCATTGATCAACTTCTAATTAATTAAATCCTCTTCACTGTCACAGAGTATCCCTTCCGCCGCAATTTCACTCCCGGAACGAATGTACAGACAAACAAATCCTGTAGTATCTGTTACTTTGAGATTACGAAGAGATGCCGTTTTAGCAAGACAGTAGAGTCAATATGGAATATAAACGTCCAGCGCTGCATAATTTAGCTGACCCTCGTCTAAATCGTCCGCTCCCCAGAAACCACTTCTTATGGATTCTGTTTTAGGTAGAAATTCTTCTAAGACAACCTCGACCATTTTCTGCAAACTCATATTCGCCCTATCTATTAGCCTTCTGTCCTTTAGAAGACATGCAAGATCGCACCCGCCTGTCATATTGATATTGTAGATCGTTCGCATATATCTTATATCAACCGAAACTACTTTAGATCATACTTACGTTGCACTATCCTGTTATAGAAAGCTGCGTGGCGGTGCCAGCAAGAGTCCATTATTATCTGCCATCAGATATTGTAATCGTACCAATAACGCCACTTTATCAGTATCAATTTGGAGGAGGTCTATCTTATTCACTTGATGACCTTGGTGTTTCGCTTCCCATTCACAATCAAAGGCATACATGTGTGGAAAGTCCGAACCCGTATTAGAGTTCACTAAGGTGGTTAATCCGTAGTTCAGTTCGCTAACACTTTTGATCGTAATTCTGTTATAGGCTGCGGGTAGTGTAGCTAGAGGTAAAGCACTACTATTCCTCGATGCAACAAGAGGTGGAATCTCATTGTTGAGTAATTCAGGAGCGGCGCGCTTAAGCATTACTTCATCTCTCTCATTGTCTAAAACCGCTAATAGTCTGATAGGCTCCTCAATCTCCACTACGGCTTTCGTTGTACAGAAAAGCCTCATGCTCATTTACGATTGAAAATAAAGAGCCATAGTACCGTCGTATTTTGACATCATGTACACGCTTTGGTAGTTTAAAACTATGGTCAATTTTCAGAATCTTTCCAGAGAAATTCTGCTTACGGAGGTCGAAGTACCCCCGATCATCCTGTGCAAGGCTGTTCAAGATCTCACTCAAGTATTTCGTGCGGAAGAATGTACCACCGTACCCTTTTGGATCAACAAATAAAGAAAATGACTTTGCCTTCTTAGCGTAGTCAGGTCTATCTCGCACATTCTCGCTTAGATTTTCCTTGTGTGTATTTAAGAGCGAATACCATGTTAAAGTTTGCTCGGTATACTTATTAAGGTAGCGGGCTTTCACAGTTTCTCTAGGTTGTTATACAAATACCTCATTTCAATAATAATGTTAAATATCAGCGTTCAGCTATATATACACGACACAGCACCGTGACCCAAATCATACTGACAATTTTAAAGGAGAAAAGATTTATAGTTCTATATTTAGCTTACGCTCCTTACATTGTACAGTACTCAGACCAGTCCTATCTCATCACAACTTACTGGTGCGCACACACACTTTTTGAAATTCAGCATATCTTCTTACATTGTGCTTTACTAGTGTACTTTGCACTGCCTACATAGTATCCATCTAGTGTATAATAATTCCTATACCCCTTTTAGTCCGTTAGATCTTTATTTTCGTCCCGATCTTGGATCAAGGTATGGAAAAGTTTGCAGGTCTCAAGGGCCAACTCCTCCAACCTACACTACAGGCTTTGACGGTACGCATGACCATGCGTGATTGCACTGGCATTGAGTCATACAAGCAGTACATGGACAAAATTGTCGCATGTTCTTTGGACCTGCCCTTTGACATGCGGTCGGTCGTGACCCTCCGCCGGCCTGTACATCGTACCGTTGGTGATCTTATGCAAATCTCAGGCAATCATTCTCCACTCTACCGATTTCTGTGTACATCTGCAGGCAGTCACCAATACTGATTTGGAAGCCGTAGATTTCGCGACCTTCCTCAAAGGCGTCATTGGAAACCCCATCGATGTTGATGCAATTAGCATCCCTCAACCTTCGGCTACCAAGCTCACGGACGAGCATACTGCAAAGGCAGCAAAACATACACGTAAGGCAGCTAATAAACTACAGAAGGCACAACAGTAACTTGCCGTGGGGGCAGCTCCGCGCTCTAAGCGGAACAACTGTACGCAACTGCGACAATACACTGCGGCCCTGAAAAGAAGGATCAGGTTGTAAAGATGCTACACTTCACAGGCCACAGGGGCGATAGCCCTGTCATGAAGCTACTCGCTCTTGTCACTGACCTGGGCGCTCGTAAGCTCATCTACCTCACGTCCGTGCACCCAAAGCTCGGTGAACTGGTCTTCGAAGGCCTACATCATGCCGCGGACGAAGTAGGACACTTCGTTCACGACAGCGTACCCAGCACTAAAGACACAGATCATCGCCAAGATCGTTGTAGCGACCAGGCGCGTCGCGACCAGAGTGACCGCGACCGTGCCCGCAACCAAGCCCCTGAATCTCGCAAGCGTTCACGTTTCCCCTAAGCACAGGGACATGACACCTTTGTCGGTGACACCGGCCCCGACCCCAGTGTCTGCCTCGACATCGGCACCAGCGGAGAAGCCAGCCGTCAAGAAAGAAGAGTATATAGCATGTCTCAATTGTAGTAAACAAGGTCATGTCGTCAAGGACTGCCCAAACCCGCGAAAGACGCCGACAGCAGCCCCAGCAACACATAACACCTAAGAGGTCTTTTGTATACATGGATGTCGGTTCGTCATTCAACTTTATTAATCAGAACATGGTATTGTACACTTTACATTGGACCATCGATTAATGGTATGGAAGTATCGAGGGCATGAGCACGATTACCCCTACGTCGCAAGTCCTCCGAGCCGCTGACGTTGACGCCGTTGATGGATTTGTTTCTACCGGTGAACAAATATGGTTAGTTGTTGGTACCCTACCTTACCAGACCCACCTACTCATCGGGTACGACACACAGAGTTCTCTCCGATGGGAAGGAGCCTTTGATATGGAGGGAAAATTGCTTATTATTCCAGGTATGGACCCATGGCGCCGTGGTGCCTGTGGGGTTCACTGCCGCCACTCGAATAGACGATATACCCCTTCTACAGCACACAAAAAAAAAGCGAGAGGAGGCACGAAGCAATGTAAACGCAAGTCCCTACGTATGCAGGCTGATACATTTCGTGAAGGTCATGCGTTACGGCCACAGCTCACTTGGTGCGGTGCTGCAGTCCCCATACACCTTGGCCGAGCACAGCGTTCACCAACCAATGCGACCCAGGAGGCGCAGATGGAAGATCCCGAACTCCCACCGGTTTCAGAAGCTAGAGCAGCCGCGGGTAGTACAGAGACTCTGCAGCCGCAGTCGCCACGCAAAGCCCGACATTACTCGGATGACGTCCGAGATATAAAAGACACCCAGGCACTGTATGAATCTTATCGCATACGCCACAAAGACCCTACACCGGTGAGATCGCGCTTTGCGCACGCTCAGCCAATAAAATAGCGCGCTACGCGCGTCAGAATTTAATAAAAAATGTGAGCTTTGCTCACACCTGATATATATATAAAAATCACCGTTAGAAGTCTTTTGCCACACGAAAGTATTTATCGATTGATAATTGGCTGTAGTCTTTTGCCCGCCAATTTCCATATAAAGAAACCAGTTTGATTTATAGAGAATATCCACAAGGTTTCCGAGGAGGTTTTAGTCAATGGTTTTACAATGCATATGTTCAAAATGAAATGTTTCAATTTATGGCTATGAAATAAAACAAAAATAATAATAAATGTTGTGGCATAAAATAGTCACATGTACAACCCAGGTAATATAAATATTTGGTTTTGTAAAAAAAATAAGAGAAAAAACAACAAAGAAGCGTAAGAGAACAGTGAGTCCTAGGAACGTCATAGAAGTGGACGTCTCCCCGCCACCTGAGGTGATAATCAATAATAGTGCGGACCTGGACTCCGATGAATATGAATCGGACGGAATATCGTCTGGGTTCTCTATAGACCTATAATACGATGGCGTAGGACCGAAAGACCGTACGTACAACCCAAGAATGATAATGGAACTATTGAGAGAGTGCGAATTGAAATTTCCCTTCAAGTTAAGGAAGTGTCACTTAGACTGGCAAGTTTTGCTACTGAAATCAGGTGTAATGGAAAAACACTATGGTAAGATGCGATGGTCTGATCAGGACGACGAAGCTGAAACTAGATGCTGCTCTGCTAGTACTACATTTTACAAGCTACAGTCGTGTGGCCACACCAACATTTGTTGTATTTTAATGTAGGGAAGGTCATCTCGATAATACGCAACGATAAACTACACCTTACGCGACACACCAATGCCAGAATCAGAGAGGAACAGAAAATCAGGGAGGAGATGTGCAGACTGCTCAAAGGTGCCACAAGTGAAGATGGATCAGGAAAAGAATGCTCGTTTGCATTTAGTGATTGATTGTATTAGTGTTTATTAAATATTATGGATCAATTTTTTTAAGTATTGGGAATACATTGATGAGATGGCGTCGATCGATCGCATCTTTATGTTTGAATAATTAGTCATGTGTTGGATATTATATTCTATATACACAAAGGTTTTAAATGAATGCCCCTTCTTTACATTTAGTGATTGATTGCACTAGTCTTTATTAATTATTATGTTTAAAAAATCTATGTATTGGAAATATATAGATGCGATGGCGTCGATCGATCGCATCGTTATGCTTAAACTATTTGTCATGTGTTGGATATTATATTATATCAACACAAGGACTTTAAATAAATGCTCATTTTTTACATTTAGTGATTGATTGTACTAGTGTTTGTTAATTATTATGTTTCACAAATCCATTGTGGTAAATACGCGTCAATAACCATATCTCAACATACTTCCCTCATCAGAGGTGAGTCGTTGGCTATTTATTGAACATTACTCGATTAACATCTGGTCAATTAGCGCATGTGCGTAATCGGATCAGTACCCTATCTAATAACCCTAAATCATATATCTGATCACAAAAACCCTAATAACCCTAAAACGTATATCTGACCACAACTCCCCCTAAAGCTGAAGCACGGAACGTGTGCGAGCTTCAGGAATGAAGATATACTAACTATCTGAACGCTAATTTTATCTCCACGAACAAGAGGGATCCGCTGGCATTATCCTCGAGAGCTAGAGCAGTGTGCTGGCATTATCCTCGAGAGCTAGAGCAGTGTGCTGGCATTATCCTCGAGAGTTAGAGCAGTGTGCTGGCATTATCCTCGAGAGCTAGAGCATTGTGATGGCATTTTACCTCTGAGAGCTAGAGGACCCGAGGTGTACGTCTCGAGTAACCTGTCGTTTTGAATACTTGAGACAACTGTTCAGTAGTGACACCATATATGCGTTCTGGCAAGTACAATATAGAACTATACCTGTGTTGGAGAAAAACTGCCAATAGCAGAAACCGTGCAAACCAGTTAACCCGATGATTCCAAACAGAGCCCAAGGAATTGTTTAGTAGATATCGCTGTGTTATACTCAAGAGCTCGAGTGGCTGGTTTATACTCGGGAGCTAGAGTGGCTGGTTTATACTCGAGAGCTAGAGTGGCTGGTTTATTCTCGGGAGCTAGAGTTGCTGATTTATACTTCCGAGCTGGAGTTCGATCTCCGAGAACAGAGTACACGGACTCTGATGCTGTTATCCTATATTAATCAGCAGGATAATACCGTTTGTGTGCCCCTTCGCACTCAATTGTTGATTCTCAGGCTACGAGTGTTCATTCCCCATATACTGAGTGTGCCCGGCGATTGTGTCTAAAACAACTCCAAACACTCGCAGGTGTCTGCGTGAACTCAGTTGATATCTTCCGGTCACGTGAGTTTACAAGAATTCTCGCTCGCATACTAAACAGACATGATGAACTCAATCGATGCCACTAGCTACGAGAGTTGACGGACAGCTATTAGTTCACTCGAATGTTGAGTAGTACACACACTTTGGTCAACCATCGCAGCAATTTGCCGCAGGGCACATGACTCACTATCAACTGACTTGTAGCTATCTCGACTGGTCGCATCAGATACATGGAATGAAGATGTAACATTATAGCGTTACAAGAGTCAACCCGCACACGAAAACATACCCCGGGTAATAATGCTACCTTACACCTATGTAACTCATCTGTAGTTCAATCGATATTTATCGGGCGACGAGAGTTCCCACCGCGTGTGCATATTTATGTCCATTGATTGCTTGCTAGTCAAATGCGCTCTCCCGCAGCTTGTGTCAGCAGCGGTCGCAGGAACCGAAATACCTATAGCAACTTTACACCGTGAACTCAAACAACGACTACGGGTTGATCGTATCCGTAGACAATAAGGAGTCTACACCCGCCTCCTCGTGACATACTATGAATCCAAGAGACTTTTCTCCACCACGAGACTCGACGTGGAGCCAGTGTTTCACAGTCTATATACATGTGGCATTACAGCGCAGCATATCACTTCACAATGTTGCATCGCACCTTAGTGCGGCATTGCACCGGAATACAGCACGACACCAATGTGTCGCTTCACAACCATTAATATATACTGTGGAAAACTCGGCGAGAATTGGTACACTCTTGTATCACCTACGGATACAGTATGCGGTTCGATAACACACAGCTTGAATGTGCAACCCCCTTACCATAATAGGTACGGTGATCTTCTTGGGACCGGTGCTCGTATCCTATTCTTGTACAAGTATATCTAACTTACTCATCCACATCATCGTATTGGTGTACATACATCTGTTTGTTTATTTACCTAAACACACGCACACATGTACATGTATAGGTACGCATACAACTATAGTATATATATATATATATATATATATATATATATATATATATATATATATATATATATATATATATATATA